ATATATATATATATATATATATATATATATTATGATCATATTCGAGTAAATTCAGAATATATAGTAGAAATAATTTTTTTTTAAAAAAACCATCTAAGTCTGTATAGAATATATTAAAATCAATAAATTGAAATAAAAACTATTACAAAATTGGTTTCCATAAATTCTTAATTTATGATGAAAGAGATTTTTGAATTGCAAATTAAATTATAAATTAGTTCATCTCATTTTGAGAAATGAATTAATTAATTCTTTTAGTTTCAAAAATAAATTTTTTAATTTTTTAATTAGTATTGATCATGAATAATTTATTTTTTTATTTTATAAAATGTCTTTTTCATATTTTACATTTTTTTTTTTTGTCTTTTTTCTAAGATCATTTTTTATAATCTTCCAATTTACCATGTTCTTAATTCTACATGGTGGTCCTAAAAAAGTAAAAAGAAATAAGGTCTCTAATTACCATTTTTATGAATCATTGAAATTTATTTGTACCTCTCTATATAAATAAGGATCACTAAAATAACCCAACATAGGATTTCATGGTCTCTTTATACAATAGTAAGATACTTTTGATTGGATGAGATAATTTTCTTCAAAAAAATAAAATGTCTTTTTTCATATTTTACTTATTTGCTATTTTTTTTCTATTTCTTAAAAAAAAAATAGTAAAAAGGAAAAAAGGAAAAAAAATTAATTTTCAAACCAAAGAGACAAATTAATTTATTTCTCAAAGAATTTTTTTTCTATTTCTTAAAACAAAAAATAAAAATAGTAAAATGGTGAAAAGGATAAAAAAAATAGTTTTCAAACAAAGGGATTAATTAATTTATCTCTTAAAGAAAAAGGGACCGAGAAGCAACAAAAAAATAGTAAAATGGTAAAAATGACAAAAAAATTAGTTTTCAAACCAAAGGAATAAATTAATTTATTTCTCAAAGAATTATTTTTTTCTATTTATTAAAAAAATAAAATAGTAAAATGGTGAAAATGACTAAAAAAATTAGTTTTCAAACCAAAAGGACTAATTAATTTATCTCTTAGAGAAAGAGGGATTAAGAAGCAATAAAAAAATACATGAATAGGGACAATGAGTCTAGAGCTACAATGAATGAATAGTCTCGGTTGAGAGCAACGAGTAGTCGGTATTTAAAAAGATTTTTTTTTTTTGGATTTTTTATTGTTAAAGTAGCACTTAAGAAAATGGGTTTATTTTTAATATATATATATATAAAAAGGAACGTTGTTGATATATTAAAAAAACCAAAAGAAAACGAGACGTTGTTGATATATTTAACTTTTTCATGATAGCCATTAATATCTCTAAATTAGTGGATGAATTTCCAGATTCCAACCATAATTTTAAATAATAGTCATGCATAATATAGTGACTGTTATTTAACCAAAATAATGAATAGTAATGAGAGATATTGAAAAATGCATGAACAATGATTTTATTTTATTTATTTATTATTATTTTTTTGTTAATAACGATCCTTAGCTTTTAACTTCTTTAATATTTATATATCAAAACTTATTAAAGTTTTTCACATACATTTCTAGATGTCATTATTCTCATTATTTTAATGGTTTCTTTGTTAATAATGATCCTTAGTTTTTTTTCTATATCTTTAAAAAAGAAATAGTAAAATGGTGAAAAGTATATTAAAAAAATAGTTTTCAAACCAAAGGGATTGATTAATTTATCTCTTAAAGAAAAAGGGACAAGAAGCAACAAAAAAATAGTAAAGTGGTAAAAATGACAAAAAAAATTAGTTTTCAAACCAAAGGAACAAATTAATTTATTTCTCAAAGAATTATTTTTTTCTATTTATTAAAAAAAATAAAAATAGTAAAATGGTGAAAAGTACCAAAAAAATTAATTTTCAAACCAAAAGGACTAATTAATTTATCTCTTAAAGAAAGAGCGACCAAGAAGCAATAAAAAAATACACGAATAAGGACAATGAGTCTAGAGCTACGGTGAATGAATAATCTCACCTTCACTTGCTTTAGTTTTTTTATAATAGTAATGAATAGTGATGAGAGATAGTGAAAAAATGCATGAACAATGATTTTTTTTTTTTTTTTTTTAATGATGATCCTTAGCTTTTAACTTCTTTGATATTTATATATCAAAACTTCTTAAAGTTTTTCACATACATTTCTAGATGTCATTATTCTCATTATTTTAATGGTTTCTTTGTTAATAATGATCCTTAGTTTTTTTTTCTATTTCTTAAAAAAAATAGTAAAATGGTGAAAAGTATATATAAAAAAATAGTTTTCAAACCAAAGGGATTAATTAATTTATCTCTTAAAGAAAAAGGGACCAAGAAGCAACAAAAAAAATAGTAAAATGGTAAAAAGGATAAAAAAAAATTAGTTTTCAAACCAAAGGAACAAATTAATTTATTTCTCAAAGAATTATTTTTTTCTATTTATTAAAACAAAAAAAAATAGTAAAATGGTGAAAAGGACCAAAAAAATTAGTTTTCAAACCAAAAGGACTAATTAATTTATCTCTTAAAGAAAGAGGGACCAAGAAGCAATAAAAAAATACATGAATAAGGACAATGAATGAATAATCTCACCTTCACTTGCTTTAGTCTTTTTTATAATAGTAATGAATAGTAATGAGAGATAGTGAAAAATGCATGAACAATGATTTTATTTTTGTTTTAGTTTTTTTTTTTTTTTTTGTCAATAATGATCCTTAGCTTTTAACTTCTTTGATATTTATATATCAAAACTTATTAAATTTTTTCACATACATTTCTAGATGTCATTATTCTCATTATTTTAATGGTTTCTTTGTTAATAATGATCCTTAGTTTTTTTTCTATTTCTTAAAAAAAGAAATCGTAAAATAGTGAAAAGTATAAAAAAAAAAAATTAGTTTTGAAACCAAAGGGATTAATTAATATATCTCTTAAAGAAAAAGGGACCAAGAAGTAACAAAAAAAATAGTAAAATGGTAAAAAGGACAAAAAAATTAGTTTTCAAACCAAATGAACAAATTAATTTATTTCTCAAAGAATTATTTTTTTCTATTTATTAAAAAAAATAGTAAAATTGTGAAAAGGATCAAAAAAATTAGTTTTCAAACCAAAAGGACTAATTAATTTATCTCTTAAAGAAAGAGGGACCAAGAAGCAATAAAAAAATGCACAAATAAGGACAATGAGTCTAGAGCTACAGTGAATGAATAACCTCACCTTCACTTGCTTTAGTTTTTTTTTTTATAATAGTAATGAACAGTAATGAGAGATAGTGAAAAATGCATGAACAATGATTTTATTTTTGTTTTAGTTTTTTTTTTTTTTGTTAATAATGATCCTTAGCTTTTAACTTCTTTGATATTTATATATCAAAACTTATTAAAGTTTTTCACATACATTTCTAGATGTCATTATTCTCATTATTTTAATGGTTTCTTTGCAATACCTTAAAAAAATTTTCTTTAAATATTCAATCCAATAAAATTTATGAAATAATTTTAAATAATTCAATACGTAAAATTAAATTATAAATCAAAACAAAATACAAAAATTTAAAAATGTAAAACATGAAATATGAATATTTTAAACCAAATTCTTATAATACAATAACGAATACCCTTTAATATGTACCAAAATTAAAAATAAAAAAAAATTCTATTTTGGGTAACCATATAAAGTTATCTCATTAATTAACACAACTTTAAATCATGTTAACTATTGCAATATTTAATCTATATTAAAAAATTTAATTTTTGTTAAATATATTTCAAATTAATCATATATAGTTTAGGATCATTTTAAATATTTTGAATTAATAAAAAAAATTTAGATTCTATTTTGGGTAACCATATGTAGTTATCTCATTAATCAACACAATTTTAAATCATGTTAACTATTGCAATATCCACTCTCTATTAAAAAATATTTAAGTTTTGTTACATATATTTCAACTTAATCATATATAATTTAGGATCATTTTAAATATTTTAAAATCCAATAAACCAAATAAAAACATACTTGTAATATACGGACCAAAACAAAAAAAGTAAAAATAACTAAACTCACAATATTCGTATTCCAAAGAAAAAAACAAAATGGTGTAGCAGAAGATCATGATTGAGCATTAATTGCCTTGTCTACGTAAGGAGCAAATTACAAAAAAGGGCTAAAAGTGGGAAGGTGAAAAAGGAAAGCAAGAGTAAGAACGTAACTTGGCACCACCACTAAATGACACAATAGCAATTAAGCAAGCAAGATGAGGGTGTTAAATTGGCAATTGAGAGAAAAAGAATGGACTTTTGCAACAATATTGAAACCAATGAAGGAGCTTAAATAAAGCAAAAAATGAATGATTGAAATGCATGGAAAAAGGTAGCACATTAAGATTAAGTCTTGATCCACAGCAAATTTAGAGTAAATGAATAGGAAAAACTCACATGTTTTAGTTTATTAGTAATGGAATGAATCAGACTGCAGATTTCTGATTAAGTTACTCGTTCCGCATGACGGATCTTGTGCATTCATGTTTTTGTTAGCTAGGATGCTAAATTTGGGTTAATTCGAAAGGAGCGGCCCAACAGAATTGCCAAATAGATTTAAAGATAAGTAACATTTAATAAGATGGACTCTTCAAAGCCCAAAACATCTAATCTTCATAGGATTTATTCATTTGTAAATCATTGAGAGAGAGAGAGAGAGAGAGAGAGAGTTTACCCTTACCCTTCTGTATGAAAGTATAAACCCTGGATCGATCAACTATTAATTTTCATTCTATCAAAAAAAACTATGAATTGTGATCAAGGTGATTAACACTATTTGAAAAAATGAATTGCAAAACCCAAATAGGTAGCAAAAGAATATACATATAGCTCTGAATTTATTGGCAAATATTTTATTAATCATATAAATTCGAGTACATTCCCTCGCTTAGTCATTTTATTTATACTACCGTATATCAAAGGTATACAGCATTGCTATATTAATGTGATGCATATATGCTTAGTTCCCAAACTTGGCCTTGTAGTCCCTCCACAGCTCATCAACAGGCTTCCCTAGCAACTCAACAAAGAAGTTATCACTATAAGTAACCCTCATCTTCTTGTTAAGTTCGGCCACAAACCCCTTTCTAAGACCATTGCAATAATCCAGAAACCTAGCTGTAACATCATACCCTTGATCCCACTTGTCACCCTGCCCTGGTTTCACCCAATTGCTTGGTGCATAATTTGCTTTTAGCCTCATAAAATCAGCAATCCCTTCGATCAATCCACCAGGAGCTTTTGTGCCAGCGGATCCATCCCATTGCCAAATGTGTGCCATTTCATGGTAAAGCACACCATTGAAATCCCATTTGATACCACCTTTAATTCCTTTAATGTAGTCATCACCTACATGAATTTCGTTGTTGCTTGCGTAGGCAATCCCTTCCATGTCGTCGACAAACAAGGACACGCGAGGCACGTCCTTTCTGTCTGCTTCAGCATATTGCTGGAAGAGTCCCCAAAAGAAGATAGTTGCCTGAGCCATTGTTTTTCGGGTGTAATTGGCTCCAAGCTCGTTCTTGAATCGGATGCCACCAGGGGTTGTTTGAGCCCGATTTGTAACTGTGTACTCGACTGCATTGATGCCATGTAAGGTTGATAGGGTTAGAAGAAAAGCGAGGAAGATAGATAGGTAAGCCATGTTGGTGTTTTCTTTGCTTGATTAATGTGTTGTGTTGCTATGCCCCTTATATAGCTAGAGTTGGTTTACATACCATGCCTACTGAAAGATGTGGAAAGCTTCCATTTTATTGATTTTCTTAAAAGAGATTTCCGTGAGACTTAGTATGCAAGCAAGCTAAGTCAATTGAATTTATAAATGGAGGCCAAGTCAAGTGAATTTATAAATGGCCTGCACCCGGTTTATATAGTTTAATTTTTCTTTGAATTGAAAAAAAAAGAAGAAGAAAACTTTGAATTTTATCTTCGGAATCTAGAACGGAAGCAGAGGTCAAGCTAGGAAGCTCGACTATTAAAAAGGATAGAATACAAAAACAATATTTTGCTATGGTACGGTGTTGCTTGACTTGATCTGGAAGGATAATATTGTCGCTAAATATATCTAGAAATCAGAAACAGTCAAGCCTCATGATCAACAAATTACTTACAAATTATTTTCATCTAAAACATATTTCAATTATCATCATTCGTAATTATATAATAATTAAAAAAAAAACTATCAGTAATGTTTTTTAATTTAAGTACCATTTTTTTTTAATAATCATGTCAGGCACGGAAAATCTTAATTAGGCAATTGTATTGCCCGGACTAATTCTAAGTATTAGTCCTTTCCCCCTTTCTCACATTCATATTCAATATCTTGCAGATTTGGAGCGGTTTCCAAGACCATATCCTCTAAGGTATTCAAATCAGCTAATAAGTTGGGGGTGTATAATTCTAAGTATTAATTTTGTAACTTTGATATTTAAGTGTAAATGAATATTTTCTAAGAGTTCAATGATACGTACAATACATTCTTTGCATACTTCGGAAAAGTTTGTTGTTCTTGTTCTTGATATATATATATATATGGTGCACCACGTTTTTTTTTTCGAAAGATTAAATTTAGCCAAATTATATCCACGATCGATACAAACATCCATCAATAAGATCTTGGAATTTTTTTCCTCCTTTTTATACACTAGCTTTTGCCCCGCGCATTGCACGGCGCAGATCATTTTAAAATTGAATATGACAATTTGTCGTAAAATAGAAATTTGAGTTACATGTGCACCTTTTTTTCCCCCTCGTTTTCAAGGTCCTATATTCCTGTGTTTCTTGTCTACTCCTGCTGTCTCTCTCTCTAGCAAAACAAACCTTCAAATGGCAATGTAAAGATCACTTTTATTCTCCCTCTATCCAAAACAAACCTTCACCTTCTATTTTCTTGTATATTCTTGCTTTGCGTATCAAGAAGGAAAAAGGAAAGAAAGAAAAAAATCCCTCAGTTCTCATATGCAGTTTCACATTTTGAGTCATCAAATGCAGCAAAAAGAGATAATTCGGGAGGATTCAACCGTTAGAAAGTTGGTTAGTTTAGAGTCATAGAATGATGGCCTAAATAAGTCATATAGAATTAAACAGACAATATTTTCATCATTTTGTACTAATTTTTTTTTAATAAAATTCTCTCGTTGGACAATTTAATTAGCTTGTCAAAAGCACTTCATGGTTACCTATAAATATTCAAGTATCAATCAAGATTCGTCTCCTCGATAGGATACCTAAAAGGATCCAAATCCTATACATTTACCATCCATAACATTAAACCTTACTGCATGCATTTATTTAATTTACGTAGAAATTTTAATTGTAGTTATATGTTTCTTTTAATTCCGTACACGAAGACATTTAAAATTCAGAGGCAATTACAACCAAAGTCCTTGGTGACACGAACTTCCATGTTATTCTTTACACATCCAATTTATTATTAGAAGTAACTTTCATTAATTCGTGGTAAAAGAAATCACAATAATAAGTTATTATGGCAGTAAAAATTAACAGTGAAAGACCTTTTTTTCCCCCCTCCCTCTCCAAATTAAAACATCAAAAAATCCCTGGAATTTTATTCTCTTCTACAAATATTATAGAATATGAGCAAGCACTCTGCACCAAAGAGTTTGCATTAGTTGATTTAGTTCCCATGTAGCGTCTTACTAAAATGTATTCCGTGTGTTGTTGCATGATAAATTATAGTCTTTTCGGGTACTCAACCATATAACAATTGATGTAATAGCTAGTGACAATAAAAAAATTTAAGACTACATAGAAATGAATTATTTTGAAACTTTTAAATTAACAAATCTAATTTATAAAAATTAAAAATAAAGGATCTCAAATTAACTTTTGTCATAAAATAATAATAAAAAAGATGTACAAAATGGTGTCGCCATAAAAAACATTCTGTATAAAATAATAATCTAAAGGGATCACTTGAAATAAATTCAAAAGAAAAACCTACAAAATTGAACAATTTAATGTTGCTAATTAAATATTACTTAATATAATCAAACATTTTATTAAAATCATGTATAACAACGGATAATCAGAATAATAATGTAGTAGTTTTTTGAATTTTGGATGGTTATAGTTTTGATCAAAATCTATATCTTTTTATCTATAATTTGTTTGTCTCAGTATAATCAAACTTTTTAGATATTGGTGAGTAGAAAAAAAGAACAAGAATATCATGTCGACATAAGCGAATGAACTTAAAACGCTTTGTGTTTGGCTTGATGCAATACAAAATGTAAAGATTATAAATACATGCAAAATGACAAAACTTTAGCTACATGGGAACTAATTATAGGGATCAAAACGAAAATAAAAATCTTCATTAAAAGCTAAAAAAGACATAGGATCAGTGAAACAAAAAAAATCATTATGCATAAGGTAGGGGCAAAAATCAAACATAACAAAATTTTATTGATCAAACAAAGTAAGGATCAAATTATAGGGATCAAAACGAAAATAAAAATCTAGTTAAAATCCAAAAGAAAAAAAAAGGCTTAAGAACAGTAAAATTTTGGAGATTACATTATCTCCATCTAGAAATGAAAAGTTTAATTTAGTCCTTTTTAAGACTTCAGTTTTGTTTTTCTTCTATATTCATATTTGATATCAAAACTTATATGTATATTTTTTTTACTTATACTCTTAAATATAACTAATTTCTCCCAAACGAAATCAAATTTACTCAAAAGGCATAAAATATTATTTAAATAAATAGCATACTAATTTACTCTAATAATGTATTAAAATTAAATCAAAAAGTTTATTTTCAATAATTAAATAAAATATTTTATGAAAAAATAAAATATAATAATAAAAATAATCACAATTAGAGTAGTTTTAAATTTTGAAGGATCGAAATAAAAATATAATATAGGGACCAAAATAAAAAAAATAAAGAAAACTTTGCAAGGCATGGGTCAAAAATCACATGACCAAAATTCTAATTACCAAAACCGAGGTAAGATCACAAAATATGGACCAAAACAAATAAAAAATTCACAAAAATCTAAAATAAAGAACTATGTACAGTAAAACTATGTTTAATTTTAGTTTATTTATTAATTAATAATCATTACTTTGATTCACATTCTTCCCTAACAGCGGCACAAAAAGATCATCACCGTAAGAAGCTCATATAGATAGTCATAGGACTGTAGATTTCTAATTAAGTTACTCGTTCCACGTGACGGATCTTGTGCATTCATATTTTTGTTGGCCAGGATACTGAGTTTGGGTTAATTCCTAAGGAGTAGCTTAGTAGAATTGTCAAATGAATTTAAAGATAAATAACATTTAATAAGATTGACTCTCCAAAGCCCAAAATATCTAATTTTTATAGGATTTATTCGCTTGTAAATCATTAAAAGAGAGAGAGCGGGAGAGAGTTTACCCTTACCCTTCTCCCTTCTGTATAAAAGTATAAACCCTAGATCGATTAAATGTGAATTTTCATTCCATCAGAAAAAAGAAAAACTGTGAATTGTGATCAAGGAAATTTAACACTATTTGAAAAAATGAATTGCAAAACCCAAATAGGTAGCAAAAGAATATATATATATAGCTCTGAATTTATTGGAAAATATTTTATTAATCATATAAATTCGAGTACAATCCCTCGCTTAGTCATTTTATTTATACTACTATACATCAAATGTATACAGCATTGCTGTATTAATATGATGCATATATGCTTAGTTCCTAAACATGGCTTTGTAGTCCCTCCACAGCTCATCAACAGGCTTCCCTAGCAACTCAACAAAGAAGTTATCACTATAAGTAGCCCTCATCTTCTTGTTAAGTTCAGCCACAAACCCCTTTCTAAGACCATTGCAATAGTCCAGAAACCTAGCTGTAACATCATACCCTTGATCCCACCTGTCACCCTGCCCTGGTTTCACCCAATTGCTTGGTGCATAATTTGCTTTTAGCCTCATAAAATCAGCAATCCCTTCAATCAATCCACCAGGAGCTTTCGTGCCAGCGGATCCGTCCCACTGCCAAATGTGTGCCATTTCATGGTAAAGCACACCATTAAAATCCCATTTGATATCACCTTTAATTCCTTTAATGTAGTCATCACCTACATGAATTTCATTGTTGCTTGCGTAGGCAATCCCTTCCATGTCGTCGACAAACAAGGACACACGAGGCACAGCCTTTCTGTCTGCTTCAGCATATTGCTGGAAGAGTCCCCAAAAGAAGATAGTTGCCTGAGCCATTGTTTTTCGGGTGTAATTGGCTTCAAGCTCGTTCCTAAATCGGATGCCACCAGGGGTTGTTTGAGCCCGATTTGTAACTGTGTACTCGACTGCATTGATGCCATGTAAGGTTGATAGGGTTAGAAGAAAAGCGAGGAAGATAGATAGGTAAGCCATGTTGGTGTTTTCTTTGCTTGATTAATGTGTTGTGTTGCTATGCCCTTTATATAGCTAGAGTTGGTTTACATACCATGCCTACTGAAAGATGTGGAAAGCTTCCATTGTATTGATTTTCTTAAAAGAGATTTCCGTGAGACTTAGTATGCAAGCAAGCTGAGTCAATTGAATTTATAAATGGAGGCCAAGTCAAGTGAATTTATAAATGGCCTGCACCCGGTTTATATAGTTTAATTTTTCTTTGAATTGAAAAAAAAAAAAAAGAAGAAGAAAACTTTGAATTTTATCTTCGGAATCTAGAACGGAAGCAGAGGTCAAGCTAGGAAGCTCGACTATTAAAAAGGATAGAATACAAAAACAATATTTTGCTATGGTACGGTGTTGCTTGACTTGATCTGGAAGGATAATATTGTCGCTAAATATGTCTAGAAATTAGAAACAGTCAAGCCTCATGATCAACAAATTACTTACAAATTATTATAAAAAAAAACTAAACGAAGTGACGGGAAGACTATTTACTTACTATAGCTCTTCACCCAATGCCCTTATTTATATATATTTTTTATTATTTCTTGATTCTTTTTTTTTTTGAGAAATAAATTAATTAGTCCTTTTAATTTGAAAATTAATTTTTTTATCCTTTTTACTATTTTTATTTTTTGTTTTAAGAAATAGAAAAAAACAAAAAAATAATTCTTTGAGAAATAAATTAATTAGTCCCTTTGGTTTTAAAACTAATTTTTTTTTATCTTTTTTACAATTTTTATTTTTTTGTTTTAAGAAATAGAAAAAAAAAGTGAAATATGAAAAAATATATTTTATTTTTTGAAGAAAATTATATCATCCAATCAAAAGTATCTTAGTATTATATAAAGAGACCATGAAATCCTATGTTAGGTTGTTTTAATGATCCTTATTTGTTCTCGGATAATTATATAAATTCATGTGGTAGAAAAAAGAAACGAGGAAAATAAAAATAAATGCAGTAGAGAGAGGTAGAGATGGTTTTTGAGATAAGGAATTGGAAAGAGAGAGGTGTAAATAAATTTCAATGATTCATAAAAATGGTAACTAGAGACCTCATTTCTTTTTACTTTTTTAGGACCACCATGTAGAATTAAGAAAATGATAAATTGGAAGATTAAAAAAAATGATCTTAGAAAAAAAATAAGTAAAATATGAAAAAAGAAAATTTTATAAAATAAAAAAATAAATTATTCGTAATCAATACCGATTAAAAAATTAAATAATTTATTTTTGAAACCAAAAGAATTAATTAATTCATTTCTCAAAATGAGTCTGAACAAATTTATAATTTAATTTGCAATTCAAGAATCTCTTTCATCATAAATTAAGAATTTATGAAATCAATTTTGTAATAATTTTTATTTCAATTTTTTTATTTTAATATATTCCATAAAGCTTAGATGGGTTTTTTTTTTAAAAAAAAAATTGTTCATACTATGTATTCTGAATCTACTCAATATATATATATTGAAAATTAATTATGTATTTTCATACATAACATCAATTATTTATTATTTATTCATTTTTATGTTCTAAAATTAATATTTTTTAAATAAAAAAATTGAAATAATATATATATATATATATACATACAAAAATAATTTTTTATACTAATATTATTGATTATTTTGTTAATATATATATATATATATATATATAATGATTTCGCTCGACAAATAGATTTATATTAATTACGAGAAATAAGATTTTTACTCGTATTATATATATAAATTGTTTACTTTATATATATAACGGTTATCGGATCTACGAGTGTAATGCGGATATCAAACTAGTTTTTATCTAAAACATATTTCAATTATAATAATTCATAATTATATAATGATAATAAAAAAAACTATCAGTGATTTTTTTAATTTAATCACCTTTTTTTAATAATCATGGCAAGCACGGAAAATTTTAATTAGGCAATTGTATTACTCGGACTAATTCTAAGTATTAATCCTTTATCCCTTTCTCACATTCATATTCAATATCTTGGAAATTTGGAGCGGTTTCCAAGACCATATCCTCTAATGTTGGTAAAGTAGTTAAGGGCGCAAGGTACGTTTTGAGTGAAGAGTTAATTTAGTTATCTTCATGTGTTTGGTTTTTCTGCTTGTTTTATCTATTTTTCTAATTCCTTGCCATTATCTGTAGGATAATATTAATAATCCGAGAACGACGATACAAGTCACATTTGCCTTTGCAAGATGCTAAAAATAACAAGGATTAATACCACATTCATAATGGACTTTGGACCGCAAATTAATTAGACGTATTTGGTGGGTGGTTTTGATGACTAGTAAGTCAAGGCCAGAGGAAAATTGAACACCATATGGCATATGGACCTTACATAGGAGTGGCTACGGCTGGTACGCGGCGAGGAGCCGAGGACCCATTCTTTTCATGTGGTTTATAGAGGAGACTTTCAAAGATTGTGGGCTGGCAGTATTAATTTACAGTTTCGAACTTTGAAAAGGACCGGGAGCCTAAGTCAAAGTCCATTCAGACTTTGTAAACTATAATTTAATAAGTAAGCGATAATCTCTAGTCGGAAAGTTCGTTTTTGAGCCTCTGTTCGTGTTCACAACAATCATAATTTTTAATTCTTTCAAAAATTGTTATGTATAGGATGTCAACTTATAAATATTTATAATTTTTTTTATTTTAAGTTCGTTATTTATAATTTTGTAAAAACTGTAGTACTGCATTATAAAACCTTCAAATTCATAATTATCAGATTTTCATTTATATTGCAACATATAGTTTTTTAAATATTTTAATCATTTAATTTTTAATTTATTTTATTGTTTTGATTATATATTACGATAAAAACCAGTTATTCATTTGAATAGTCTTTTATTGTGAATTATTGTCCCTCCAATTCTACGACTCTACTAAGTTGAAATGTTGCAGTCTCTTTTATTCATCTATTCATGCTCACAATAATCACAATTTTTAGTTTTTTTCAAAATCTATCTTCTATAGAGTGTTAATTTGTGAATACTCATAATTTTTTTTTTCGTAAGTTTGTTATTTGTAACTTTGTAAATACTGTAGTATTGCATTATAAAATCTTCAAGTTCATAATTGTGAGATTTCCATTCATATTGGATCATGTAGTCTTAAGTATCTTAATCATTTAATTCTTTAATTGTTAATTTATTTAATTATTTTGATTACGTGTTACGATAAAAACTCAGTTATATATTTGAATAATTTTTTATTTTGAATAATTGTTCTTGTAATTCTGCAACTCTATTAGTTTGAACGATTGTAATTCTCTATTAAAAATATTCAGATCTATTACAGTCTTTTTAATTTATTTTATTTTGTTCTTAATACAAAAAGTTAGAAATATCATTAAAATCAGTTTATATTATAAAATTAATTAGATTCATCTATCTACAAAATTAAAAAATTAATTGTCCTACAAAACACATTCCAATCATTGTTTACATCCTTTTGTTACCAAATTTTCTTAATTTTAAAAAAAAAAAATAGACAATTTTTATGACCTCGTTCAAGTTACGAGCGCAACCTGCCGACATTCTTGCATCACTTCTTTCTATATGTGCCATAGATATCGCTACAACAAATATCTTGTACAAATCAAACACAACCATAAGAAATTAACCTGTTTCACTACTACTTGCTTGACCATGTTTCGCCATGTTTATGTCCTCTCTTTGTTAGTACTCCTAGCAATCAACACCGTTTCAGCAGTGGACTATGCTGTCACCAACAGAGCCAGTGAAACTGCTGGTGGAGCCCGATTCACCGGGGACATCGGGATCGATTACAGCAAGCAAACACTAGCTTCTGCTACAGATTTCATATGGAGGACCTTCCAACAAACTAATGCTGCAGACAGAAAAGATGTTCAGACAGTCAACTTGTTCATAGATGTCATGGATGGTGTTGCCTACGCAATAAAAAATGAAATCCATGTTAGCAACAATTATCTAGGAAACTATTCAGGTGATGTCAGAAGTGAAATCACTGGGGTACTTTACCATGAAATGACACACATATGGCAATGGAATGGTAATGGACAAGCCCCAAGTGGACTAACTGAAGGGATTGCTGATTTTGTAAGGTTGAAGGCAAATTATGCACCTAGTCATTGGGTGCAAGCAGGGCAGGGTGACAGGTGGGATCAAGGGTATGATGTTACAGCTAAATTTTTGGACTACTGTAATGATCTTAGAAATGGGTTTGTTGCTGAGCTTAACATGAAGATGAGGACTGGTTATAGTGCTCAGTACTTTGTTGATCTGCTAGGGAAGACGGTTGATCAGCTTTGGAATGACTACAAGGCCAAGTATGGACAATAGAAGAGCTTGGCTAGCTAGTTAAGAGCTGGATTCATGAAATGTATTTTTAGCAGCTCGCATCAATATATATATATCCTAAATAAATTTGAATAATATCCTTTTCAGATTAGCCAAAATGGTTTGATGGACATTAAAACAATATGCTCCGTTTTTCAAGTGCGTTTTCCCTTGCATTTTGCTATTGAGTTTTCTATTAGAACACAAATATCACAGATGCTAATTACCAAAATCATTAACCGGGAGAAAGGAGGACTTGTCAAGATATCAAGACTCTTATGTGACTTGCATGAAATATGTGAAAATGGAATCATCAAACTCGATCTTGTGAATAAAGATGATTATTCCATATCATTTAACGAGCATGCACGCAATTAATGTAGCTATAAAATTTTCAGATCATTCAAAACCACCACGGCACACAAGAAAACCTGGTCCTACTCTTGTGTTTCATGGAATGCCATTTTGATACTTCCACGAGCAACTTTAGATTGGGATGCCCTAATGAGGAAGTCTAGTTCGAATCCCTTTTAGAGAAAGAAAGAAAAAGTTACTATTAAATTATTCTAAAACATAAATTTAAATCGTACCGAAATATCTGATAAATAATTAAGAAGTCGGTCCATTTCTTTTCTTTGATTCTTTAATTGTTCCATCTCATGCTTAGACAAACCTCAACTAATATCTGTCCCGTTTTCTGATCAGCGAAAGCTGCCAGTAGAATCATGCGACACTGTAGTTTCCTCCAACCTGTGTGAGTGAGTTATTGCCCAAACTAAAATTAAATAAATGTTATCACGGTGACACAAAACTTTTATTAGTCCCTCCTTAGTTTCCACATATGAATCAGCCAGCACTGCAAGTATTCGTATTTGTAGTGTGTAGGGTCTATTTCATAGAATTTTCTACTGTAGTGGCGAGATTTATTCTGCAATAAGAATAAGTCAAAAGAAATTAAAAGAACCCACTTAAATTGTTTAATTAATTTTGGCCAAGTTAACAATTTGACCTATAGAGACTGAATTAAAAAATTTAAGTCGGTGACTAAATTATATTTATTGTAAAATATGATGACCAAAAAAAAAACTCAATTAAGGATTTTTCATAAGAAAAATAAAAAATAGGGATCAAAGTAAATTTGTCAAAAAGAATTTAGAGACCAAAATATAAATCAACAAAAATTTCATGCTATTTAGAAACACCATCTGTAATGATGAAGAAAAATGTGATGGACAAGGTTTGATAAAACCTTTAAATACAAGACAAAAAACAGATCAGGAATATACAAAAGTATTAGCCCATGATTTCACACAACAAAAGTGAGATAATCACACACCGTGAAATAGCACTTCCGCACGACAGAAAAGTCATCATCAGATTTTTCTTAGAACAAGAATCATTCAAACTAAAAATTATATGCAGTTTATTCCTTCAATAAATCACATGATCTAGCCAAATGATTTAAGCTCGTACCTCGATATCAAAAGTTGATTGATCTCAACCCATCGAAAGATGTTTCCTTGTTTAGACTTCCTGGATAATCTGTATCTAAAGAGAGAGGGGAATTCTGCTGCACATATATGCTTTGGTAAGAAAAATTTCCATGGCAACTGGTGTGATTGAAAAAGGTCCCGTTGTTTGGCTTGAGCCGGTTTGCTTACTCATATTTCAAATTTGGTAACTTGAGATTCATGCGGTCTGTTTGGTGCATCTTTTGGCTTATTATTTGGTTTTTGCCAATTTTTAGTTGTTGCTTATGTAAGTTTAGTGATTCATTGTATTGTTCCGAGTTCCAACATTGTAATATCCTCTGTTTGTTTAGGGAATGTAATACTTTTTTCAATATTAAATAGAAGTGGGAAAAAAGATAGCGAGATCAATCCATACAATACGGGCACATACGACTGGTTTTCCTCGTATTTGGAGCAAGGCAAGGAACATTTTAAGCGAAAGTTTTGCCTTATATCTACCTGTGTGTCTTCATGCGTTTGGAGGTATTAATAATCAAAGACCAATTGTCATGTTTGTCTAATTGTCTTGGCAACATGGTAGGGATAACATGACGAAAGACATTAGTAATTGTCTTCATGCGCTTGGTGAGTTTCTACTATTAGATGTGTTACTAAGGCCTGCAGGAAGAAGAGAACAAACGTGGGGATAAGGCATCCTTTACTATTTTTCTTAGAGAGGCTACGGTTGTTAATTTAAAATGGAGAGACCAATTCTTTTCACTGGACTTAGATTGTAGGTATTAATAAAACTTGTTTGAAGAATTTGTCTTATCTTATTTTTCAAATATTTAAAAAAATAAGAAAAAAATTATATTTTTTATATATAATTACTGTAAAGTAATGTTACGTTTTTAGGGTTTTTGTAAGTTTTTGATTGTGCGTGTGTGTGGGATTTTCTAAGCTTTTGAGTGTGAATATATATGACCTATTATTCTAAGTGGCACTAAATATAAAAAAGTCAGATAAATATTTTTCAAATTAAAATAACGTTTTCGGAAAATTACAATTTTTGCCTAAATAATTTCGTATTACTTATCAATTTACTTATAATTTTTTTTATCTTAAATAAATTTCATGAGCACATGTTTAACTAAAACTATTTTTTCTTTCGATAGAATAGTTAATAAATCACTTATAGGTGTTAACAATTTTGTTTCAAGTAAAATTGACAATTTTTAACACCTAAATATTGATTTTGATTAGTAGTTCATGTAATATAGCAAACATGAAGATTAAGCAACTTAAACTTCTTTTTATGTTATTAACGAACATGTTTTCCAATTTTTAGTTTAAATTTTTATTACGATTCAAAGTAAAAAAAATTATGTATAACCAAGAGATTATTATCTTGGCTTCTCTTATTGCTTTTCTTTTTCAATTTTCCCCTTCATTGTGAAGTTAGAGGTTCTGATAACAAATATGAAAACGAGCTCACTCCCATCACAGATGATAAAGTGATTTTCTAATTAAGAGCCAATGTTTCTGTTAATTAAATTAACAAAATGAAGTGCTGTTCAGTCGAATCTGTAGTCGATCCTCATGAGCACATTCAACTTAATTTACGAGAGCTAAAAGGACCAGTGGGCAGCCGGCTGAATATATACATTGCCGCGTCACTTGCTGCTTCGGTCATGCCTAACTCCCTATATAAACCATAGAGCAGCAACTTCGATCATATCCAGTGCATATCAAACACAGCCTAAAGAAATACAGTGCCACTACTTTCTTGACCATGGTACTTTCGCCATATCTACTCCTCTCTTTGCTTGTAACACTAGCAGTCAATACCGTTGCAGCCGAGGACTGCACAGTCTACACAGTCACCAACAATGCGATTGCAACGGCTGGCGGAGCCCGGTTCACCAGCGATATCGGAGTGGATTATAGCAAGCAAATACTAGCATGTGCAGCAGCATTCATATGGAGGATCTTCCAACAGACTAACCCAGCAGATAGAAAAAATGTTCAAAGGGTTGACTTGTTCATCGAAGACATGGATGGTGTTGCATACGCTGACAACAATGAGATTCATGTCAGCAGCAACTATATGGGGAACTACACTGGTGATCTGAAAAGAGAAATCGGTGGGGTGCTCTACCATGAAATGACACACATATGGCAATGGGACGGTAACGGAACAACTCCGGGAGGACTGATTGAAGGGATTGCTGATTTTGTAAGGTTAAAGGCTAATTATGCACCTAGTCACTGGGTGCGACCAGGGCAGGGTGATAGTTGGGATCAAGGGTATGATACTACAGCTAGGTTTTTGGACTCTTGTAATGATCTTAGAGATGGGTTTGTGGCTGAGCTTAACAAGATGATGAGAACTAGTTATAGTGCTCAGTACTTCGTTGATCTGCTGGGGAAGACTGTTGATGAGCTTTGGACAGACTACAAGGCCAAGTATGGAAAATAGAAGAACCTGGCTAATTAAGAGCTGAAATTATAAAGCATTGCACGCTTGTAATTGTTCGCATCAATATATAACCTTGGACTATTGCAGTGTCAGCTTCTAAACAAGGATGAGTTCAGAATTGGTTTCCTTACAGCAAAATTGATTTCCGCTTTTAATCGATCGCGCATTCGAGTCAATTAATTTATTAAACTACTTTATAATGAACGGGTGAAACTTTGATTATGATGGACTACAACAGGGAAATATTTTTATACAAGTATGCATCCGTTAATCCAATTTAAAAGACGATATGCATTTTGCTATTTGCCATTTGCTTTTCAAATTGGCTATGGCCCCTGAGACAAAGTCAAATAGAAAAATAAGGCATGATCTAGACACAACAATATTGAATTTCTATCAGATGCTCGCATGAATCCGCGCATGTATGTTACATTCATCCAATTATTTTAAATGATCTTAAACAATATATATGGAAAATCATAAAATTACTCTCTCTCTCTCTCTCTCTCTCTCTCTCTCTCTTAATATGAAACTGACAATTTGATCAAAATTGCAGTTTAATGCGATTTGCCTGGAGGAAACGTGAAAATAGCTTCAGCCAAAGCTCCAACATTTGAACCAAAAGTTTACCCCTACGCATGCCATCACTGCTGTTGCAGAATGGATGATAAAACTTCATCGATGGACTGGAATTTTCGCCTTTCCTTGAGAAGCATCTTTGCCAGGTCAAGTGCCTGCCGCTCGCATTTGGCTCTTTTGCTAGAGTCAGTAATTGATTCAAAATCCTCAACATGGGCTACACCAACAAGTCTCCTGCCACACAAAGATTTAAATCAGTGATATTTTGGAATTGAAATTAACAAATTCTAGAATTAGGATTTCGATTTAATGTCACACACAAAAAAGGAGACATAGAGGCAGGTACATACTATGAAATTGCACTTTCCCGCTGTAAGACAAGTTATAACCAGATAGAGGTAGGAACATACTATGAAATTGCACTTTCCCGCTGTAAGACAAGTTATAACCAGTTTTCCCGCATGTCAAGCATATTCAAACTGAAAATGATGGCGAGTTCATTCCTTCAATAGATAACATGATCTAAATGAGTTTCGCTCATACCTAGAAACCAAAAGCTGAGCTGATTGATTTCAAGTTTTGCTTCCCAACTTGAGATGTTCCCCCTGTTTGACTTCTTATATAATCCCAAATCCTAGAGAGCTTTAATAATCTATTTAGTGGCTTTAGATAGGACCAAGGATGAAGACTTAGCCATGCAGATTTCCCAAAAAATCAAGCCATTTAGTTGATCTTAAAACAATACATTGTATAAAAGTCTAAAATCCAACGCCAAAAGTTAAAATAAAAGAGCATATCCTGGAAACATATATAATGATGAGGTCTCATAAAGTTGCAGGGTGAAACAAGGGAGACATAAATTTCCAAAAACAGACGGGGTGAGACATGATCAAACACAATAATAGTTTATTTTGAATTTTAAGCCAATTTCTTCAATTCCCAATCAGAAGATTCATATAGAGCGTTTACTTTCTTTAGAAATAGATAAATTTTCATACAATAACTTGATCATGCTATGGATGCTCAAGCTCAGGGAAGAATGCCAAAAATCTGAAGCTTGAACAAATAAATATAAGTACTTCAAGAAAAAGAATAAAAAAAACTACAGGGGACAAAATAGGAACCTGTCAACTCACCTTATCATTTTGGCTGCACCAAATCCCAAGGTGTCATGGAACAAGTCTTGCATGAATTTTTTCTGTACAAGCTGACGAAGCTCAGGATTATTATAAATTCCTGGAAGATATGCCTCACCAGAGCCATCCTTGTGCTCGTCCCAGAGTGCAGTGAACTTTTTGTAGAAAAGATTCCAAGTCTCTTTAATTGTCCTCAAAATCCACTCTTTATATGTCTATACGCAAGAAAAACTTTCAGATAAACAACAGCACTCCAATAAATACAAATATTACAAAGTAAAACCCACAAGGAAGGCTGTAACTGTGCCTTCCAGTTCATTACCAAACTGGAACTATCTCCTTGTTTATTAACACAAGACCTAAGAGAAGCATATCCCGCAATTAAAGACAGGAATAAGATACATAAATACAGTTGAGAGTGACTTGTATAATAATTTAAATGGATGCATAAACGAGCGGTTATGAAGATAAAACATTTAAAAATAATAAAGAAATACATAAATAAAAACGAACAGAATAGTAACTCAGACATACTTTTCGGTCATTCCCTTGATCAGCATGTCCATCTTGAGCATAAAAAGCCAAAATCAAGTTTCCAATAAAAGCTCCAATATCGAAACCCATTGGACCATAAAATGCAAATTCTGGATCTATAACTTGAGTAGATTCATGGGTAACCATGACAGAACCCGTGTGGAGATCTCCATGTACCAAGGCTTGGGCCCTTTCACAAAACCTATCAGAAAAAACTGTTCCGGTAAATCACAGAACCAACTAAAAAGAAGTGGAAAAAACTGACACATCTTGTGAAATGAATGAGCTCCTAAATGAAAACATTACTTGGATTTCAACTCAGCAACTTCGAGCTTTAAAATATTATCTTCACGGACAGCCTCAGCATCACGATCAAGATAGGGGGAAGTCCAACGGTTATATTGGGATGCTTTGTAAGGGTCAGAGAAAACAACCTGCTCGGTAAGCCTACATAACTCCACATTCCCACAGAATTCAGCAACTGCATTGAGCATTTAAAGTGAGCACATCAGCAGAATTTCTTCAAGGTCGCCATGTTCATTGCACCAATGAAAAATTGAATATCACAAATAACAAATCAAAACAAATGATAAACAACAGAGTAGAATTACTTACCATCACGTTTATGCTCAGTAGTAGTACGATAAAGAAGTGACGTGTGGTAAAGAGTCTTTGCCATATAACTTGATATGTGTTCCGCTAATAATGGATACTCAATTCCTGCAATCAACCCTTTTCTCAGGATTATATGTGGGGGCTCCAAATATCGCATACCAATCAGAGACATAGTACGGTCAAAATGATAAACTTCAGGCACATTTTCAGGGCACAATCGGCCATGCTCTCGAAGTGCCAAGGCCTCAAAGTATGCTCTTTCCTTGGTCATTGGCCATGATTCTCCAATACAACGTACGTATGGAAGCGCCTGAACACAACCACTACCAGATTAGAACAGATAAGTTTAAAATATCATCCCCAAATATGTCCATCCCATTTCACTTTATAGGAAAAGAAACAATCTTGAACAGCGAATTTGTATCTCACTTCATTAGTTCCACAATTAACTGATCAAACTGAATACGTCTTCTAGTAATAGACACAGTAAAATGCCAAATTAAAAACGAATTCAATGAGTTTATACGGGACATATAATTAGTTGGTCGATTAATATATTTATGCATAGAAACACTAATTCATAATAGCATTCGCATTTAATTTGGAGAAGTAAAACACGTTACTAAATTTTTAATTAAAAATTACTTGTTCACTTCCTACATTTTTCCATCAACAAAACAAACCCTCATAGGTTTTACACATACCCATCTAGATTTTCTTCACTTACCTGCTTGATGACAAGAGAACCAGCTGGGCTAACAACGATGTAGACGAAATTGAGATTTCCATCGCCAACTTCTTTGATCTTCAAGTCGTCGAAACTGTTACCAACCTTACCTGACAAAGCAGGAGTAGCCTTAATGTACTCTGTTAAATGTTTCTCGTCCAGTGGCCTGAACTCTGTGAATGTCATTTTTTTACCGATGTCGATCAGGTGGTGGCAGTGAGGGTTTTGAGGGGTAGAGGAGAGGTTAGAACTTCGGATGAGGAGGCGTCACTCAATGATTGAGTGGACTTCTGGGAACTTTATTGTGGTTCATTGAATCTGGTCGGGTGTCCGCTTGTTTGGGAAGTTTGGCGAATACTAGGATTAGGATAGCTTATTCTCGCAGCACCAATTAAGTGAACTGCTAAACATTTGTTGAGTAAATTATTCTCTTTGACTTTTGAAAAATGAATTAAATATTTTTTAAAAAATAATTAGTTATAGTAGTTGCTATGCTTTTAATTCTATTACTAACTTAATTCTTGTGTTGTTATTTTTCAATTTATTTTTTTATTTTAAGAAATAAAGAAGAAAAAAAGATGTATATACATACACTAAATTAATTATGATCTGATCAAGACATTAATTAATTAATTTTTAAAATTAATGAAATAATTTAATTCTTTTAATTGCATAATTTACTTAAAATTTATTCAAATTGCTTACGACAAGTGTCAGTAACTTTTTTCTCAAATTTAGGTATTTCTGCAAAAAAAAAAAATTATTCTCTATTAGTTTTGTGTAGAGAGATGTTTTTTTGATGCCCAACCTTTCAATTTTTTTTGTTTTGGTGCCTAATAATTGATTTCTCATGGTTGACTATCCAAACTTTGATTTTTTGTTTGTTTTGATACCTGAGTTAACTAGAATTCTGATTTTGCTAACATGTTCGACAACATCTGCCGCTCGGCAATCAACCCTATCACATCGTTGCCTTATACTCTCATATAGCTATGAACATTCAAATAAAAAAAAATCAAGGTTAGGCATTAAAACATAAAAAAAAATAAAAATTAGGTACCAAATATGTAGTTTTTTAAAAAATCTATTGTCTCGAGATTGCAAAATCACTCCAACAATTTCTAATGAGTATTTTTCATATCACAATCGTGACATTTTTTTTACTTATCAATTAAAAATTACTTTTTAAAAATTCTAAATCTTTTTACATGTCTAAACAAATTTAAAATTATGGCATTTAATTCAATTATATATAAGGTCCAATTAAAATTAAATTTAGAAAAATAAAAGACATAATATTTAATTATGACTGCCATTTGTCGAACATATGATTGGTCAATAGAAAAAGTTACCAAAAAATAAAAATTATTTCCTCTCGTTTTAAGAGAAAATTGACCTACATATCATGA